GCCCCCAATGGTGAATATTCCAATTGTAAACTATGTGAACAAGAGCTGGGACATACTCACCAACACTATATCTGTGATTGCCCTGTTATAAGTGACTTCAGACCAAATGGTATAAGGTACTTTGAACTCTGTAATTACTTCATACACTTAGGAATATTGGAAGATATTCTTATGCTGTAGCCGGATTTTGCTAACGGAGGCTAATAGATCAGCCTTATATTTTATGTTCTCACCTGATTGTTACCTTGAGGTAGGCCCGTAAGTGGTAGTCCTCTTGAACCATTAACAGTATCAATAGATGATACTGGAGATCTGTGGAGGTGCGACTGGACCCTGCGTGACGGGAGATGTATCCCTTGTTTCTTGTGATTGATGAGGATTAAGCCACCCAAAAGGTACCACGGGCATGAGTAGCCCGTAAGTGGTGTTCTTGTTAGTCACAGTTGATTTTTTTTTATTGAGGCTGGTATTTTATCCCCTGATTCCATGTATAACTAACCATCCTGTGAGATGGGAATATTTAATGAACTTATAGCTAGTTTTTGATATACACTGTGTAATCTTTCATATAGAATAGGGTAGCAGCACATTACTGTGTATACCTAAGTTTGTTAATAATAACAAAAAAAAAGTTAGTTTCTATCGATAGGGAGAGCGATGGTTCAAAAATCCTTCTTTAAAATATGAATATCTTTCCTATCTCACTAAGATCTAATCTCTGTGATTAAAATGCAAAATTGACTTTGTCACTGCCTTTTAGATAACATATACAATCATAAGCTTATTTGTGAATCTCTATTAAACAGTAAATCAGAGAGCGTGTAAGGTTCCATGTTCCATGTCCGAAGAAACAGGGAGATTTTACATAAATACAGTACATGATAGTTTAAGTAGCGAACGCATACCAACAAATAACGATTAGTATCTATAACAAAAATATTGTTCTATGGAGTTGATTTAACTTCCAACCATGTATTTTTAAATAATCTTTAACGTTTTCTGGCTAGTTATGTTAGATTTGATTAAAAATACGCATTCTACTTGTTAATATCGTTAGATTTGATTAAAAATACGCATTCTACTTGTTAACATCATAAATTAAATTTGCGATAATTTGAGCAGAGAAGTTCGAGGACTGGATCACTGTGTACAGAAGGTTGATATGCCAGCAAACACTTTCCAGAGAGCAATATATCTTGGATAAGTCGCTCCACGATATTGTTGCTTGGACCATCGACTTCCTTTGATATTATAATTATAATAATAATAAATAATAATATAAATAATGATAATATTATATATAATAATAATATAATATAATATATTATAATTATAATATATAAATAATTATATATTATAATAATAATTATATATTATAATTATATTATAATATATATATTATATATTATATATATATATATATATATATATATATATATATATATATATATATATATATATATATATATTCTGGGGTGTGAGTCACTTCTGGGGTGTGAGTTTTCAGTTGCATATTGTCCTGGGGACCATTCAGGCTTGTTCGCATTATATATATATATTATATATATTATATATTATAATTATAATATAATATATTATAATTATAATAATTATAATAATAATAATAATATAAATAATGATAATATTATATCTAATAATCTAATAATATTATAAAAATAAAATAAATAATAATATTAAATACATAAAATACATGTAATAATATTACATATTTACATCTTATTTTGTTATGAAATGATATTTTTTCAGAGTAAAATGATGTTTTCTCATTTTCTGCATCCAGCATCCACATTATAGTGAGTAAATATACCATATTACTTCATTGCTTACGTAATGCTAGGAAGGTTTGAGTAGCTTTGGGTCTTTAGTGGACAGAATCTCCAATAGATGGGGCGAGAGTCGCCCCATCTCTCTCGACCGGGCGGGACTCGAAACTTAAATTAAAATTGCTATATCATTGGTCTCCAACATGATATATTTCCTTTGATGCACTCACAATAACGATTATAGCTCTGTCTTTCTGGAGGCATGTAATATTTTAGGCTTTATTAGCGTATCTTTGTTAATTACACAACATATTGGCAAGTGCGTAGGCGTCTGCACTCCATGACCGAAAAGCTACTGAACGCCACTATAAAAACATATATATCTTCACTTGAGCTTTAAATATGTCTAATGTAATGTATTTAAAATAAAGCTTATATTTCTATCTTTCTTAAGACGTGTAAAACATTTGTGTTTATTAACGAATTTACGTAAAATAAACATTCTTCTGAGAGAGTTGCTCTGTCGCTCAGTCTATGCGGGGGTCGGAGCTCGGCGATTATTAAAATACATGAATCTTCATTAGAACTTATGTCTATGATAAAGTGTTTAAAATGAGCCTTATATTCCTATCTTTCTTGAGGCATACAAAAAATTTACGATTATTTACAAATTTACGTGAAATAAGCATTGTTCTGAGAGAGTTGCTCCGTCGATCGATCTGTCCGGAGTCGGAGCTCGGCTATTATAAAAGTACACGTGATCTTCGCTTTAAATTTAAATATGCCCATGGTAAGGTATTTAGAACGAAGCTTATATATCTGTCTTTCTTGTGACATATAAAACTCTTACGTTTATTAAGGAATCTGCGTGAAATAGGCATGGTTCTGAGATGAATGCTGCGGTTTTCGAGTTTGACGAGCGATGAAAACTGCCACTTTTATACAACTACAAATATCTTCGGTTTTACTTAAAATATTTGTCTGGTAGAGGTTTTACATATAGATCGCGTTTCTGTCTTTCTTCTGACTAATAAATAATTTTGGTTTAATCAGTTATCAAGATGTTTTCAACAATATTCTTTCAGCGTTCGTCTTTTCCAACTTGGGCGACCTTTTTGGAAGCGCGATACTTGGGTTAACCCATCCTATAGTTGGGTCTGTTTCCAACTGGGGTTCGAATAGGAACACCAAGAAGTGCCACGGCCGCGAGCTTCTCCCTAATGATCACCACATCCGCACCGTGTCCGTGACCCACCGCGCGCTCAGTCTACGGACATTTGTGACCTACCGCTCGCTCAGTGTACTGACATTTGTGACCTACCGCTCGCTCAGTGTACTGACATTTGTGACCTACTGCTCGCTCAGTGTACTGACATTTGTGACCTACCGCTCGCTCAGTGTACTGACATTTGTGACCTACTGCTCGCTCAGTGTACTGACATTTGTGACCTACCGCTCGCTCAGTGTACTGACATTTGTGACCCACCGCTCGCTCAGTGTACTGACATTTGTGACCCACCGCTCAGACAAAGGAACGTTTCTAACGGGGCTTTGTGACCAGCTATGACACGCGTCATTTCCGTAGGAAAACAAAAAAATCCTTGATTCTGTTCTGGTTTGATATTCGCCGTTCTTATTTTATCTCGTCATGTATTTTATTAGAAAGTGGAAAACTATTTTGTTCCAATCAGAGGTACGATTTGCATGTTCCACTTTTACGTGATTATGGTAGCCTAATTACTGCAGATTAGCAGTGTTAATATTACAAGGTTTATTGAACTTGCTGCCCACACAGCTAAAGATGTATTCAGCTGCATATTACATCGTTTTAAAAAGTTATAAGGATGCACCTAATGTCTTCCAGACCAGCTCGAAATTTGATTCTGGAACATGTCAAAAAGTTGAAACTTGTAGTACAGCATAATTCACAATCTTGTAAAGTGCAGGTCGTTCACTATTTTTGCTGGTCTACAATTATGGATGGTTGTCTATTCAGTCATAGTAGGGCACTGATATCATTATACTCGTTTAGGGAGTTGGTATTACGGTTGAAAAACATATAGATTTTCGTTTTGCCAATGGATATCGATTGGGAAGGTTTACTTCAAAGCACAGTGATTCAGGACTTCTGCTGGTGGAGGCGAGGCACATAAATTAGCAGTTATATAATTGGTAGACACGCATGGGATGAACATAATCACAACCTGAGGTGTAAGCTCAGATCAACCAGAGATTACGCTTGGTTCACACTTGGCTTCTTCAAAGATTATATTCATATCATCTGCAGATATTATTACTATTATAGAGAAAATCAATAGGAGCTATGAGTAGGATTCGAACCTATGCTCTGAGTACTCTCAAGCCTTAGACCACTAAGCCACGACATGGTCAAAAAGCAAAGCAACCTGGGATTTAATTGAATCTTCTAGGGGTTCTGAAGCTTCTAACTGAAGCCTATCCAGGGTTTCATGCATTGCCCCCATGCACTTCCAGTTGTAGTCTAGGAGCTCTACCTCCAGCACTTTTCTTCAAATAAATTTGCAGACAATAGTAAAGTAGGGAGAGAGATAAATTAAAAAAACTCAAATAACTACAATGTTTTTTGTTATTTAAATGGATAAAAGACTGGCAGATTCAGTTAATTGCTGACAAATCTTGAAATTGCCAGTCCAATCACTTGGACTGGATGATAGAGCGACGGTCTTGCTTCATGCAGGTCGGCATGAATGGCTTGGCACTTTATCTCTCTGATAATTCCCTTCCTTGACGCAGCGGTGAGCAAGTGGCTTACCGCTGCGTCACAGGAAATGTTTCATATGAAAAGATTCAAATAGTTTTAAGTGTAGATTAGACATGTATATGAATGAGTTTGAGTGGATATAAATAGGAGCTGCCTAATGTGGACCAATAGGATGTCTGCCATTTCCTGTAATCTTAGGCTCAAGGCCTAAATGTAATGCCTCATGGCAGAAAATGAGTGTTGCAAACCACTCGACTGCAGTTAAGAATAGGAAAACACTAGTCCCATTTGCCACTTTGTCATCAGCCATGAAAAAAGGTGTATGGTGAAGAAGGGGAAAGGTATACAGGGCTGTACTGTATATGGTGAGAAAACTGTTGCAGAATGTTACATGTAAAATAAAATCCGTGTAAATCATCCAGCACAGTGGTCTGTAATCGGATACAAATTGGAAGGTTATAATGGAAACAAACATATTAATATTAACATTTATCTAAGACTAGACATTATACTTGGCAGTAAACACGCACAATAAACTGAGCTTGTTCTACTTAACATAGGAATTTCAGGATAACTTCACAGGTATTTTAGATGTCTCTACTTTATAACCAATAAGCTTTAAAACATCATCAATGAACTTGTCATTGTTCACTTGTCATGGGGGGTTACTTCTTGTCTATGGATCAACTTAATTCAATTTGTACCATATCATTATGCTTTTTTGGTGATATTCTCTCATAAATTAATGTTAATTGAATTAAAAACCAAATGCTGTGGGTGTATAGCATTTTTTTAAAGGAATATTGATAACACTATTAGCATATGCCTCAAAAGTGGCAAAGGTAAGGTAATTATCAAAAGAAGGCACCAAACCGGGAAGGCTATGTAGCACCATCAAAGTGCGAAATAATCAGAGGGAGCTAAATATCACCAAGAATGCCAATACTGTACAAGCAAAAGTGGCAAAAAAGTAACTGTTTTCAGATCTGTACAGCAAATTGATGTTGCATTAGTTTGCCAGAAACAGGCATCATATGACTCATCCACCTAGGATACGTAATTAAAGTAGAGAGCCGTGATTCGCCGATTATAATTTTACCATAATTTTCTTGATGCAATGCCTTTTACATTCTCCATGGCCTGAAAAAGTCACAAAACCAGCGTACAGAAAAATGCCACTGCATAAATGTCGGAACAAGCTCACTTTGAACATTTTTACGCATCACCAAATGTTTGAATCGTAAATAAAAAGTAAGATTTATTTTCATTATTGTACTATACTTACATTTTTGGAAGCCTTTAAAAGCAACACTAATATATATATTAGTGCAACAAGCATCACTAATATTATATATTATATAATATATATATATATTATTGTATGTATAATTTGTTACACTGTACATAGTGTAACTTAACAAGTCAGACTTCATTACACTGTAATGCCCATTCATCAGTTGACTTCAGGTGGCAAAATATTGCATACCTATTATCACACAATTCTAAATTCCTTAACTACCCAAAGTGAGGGAAAACTCTTCATGGAAAGAAAGAGAAATACATGAAATATTAAACATTCTGTTTTAAAATTAATATACTGAATTACGAAGGGAAAAAGTTTTGAATCAATTACAGTATTTATATATTATTGATAAAAAATCAAATGTTATACGACATTGTAAATGTACAGTATACGAAAATGTAACAGTACAGAATTAAGTTTTTATAAAGTCAGTTCATTATAACAAAATTAGTCATTGCACCATCTCTCACTGTAGGTGGCATGTAACCCATAATTCATAACAAACTAGTGTACTTAAATTATTTTGGATATCTTTTAGCATACTAATAGGTATTGTAAGTTACGAATATAAATGCTGTTCAAATACTGGAAAAATAAAGAGTATGAAAATTGTTCACTCGGATCTTTAATTTCTATTCATCTGAAGTTTTGTATGACCTGTATAAAATATTTTAGTCTTAGTTATCACGAAAAATGCATGGACGGCAAGTTCATTCACTTCAGGTACAGTGATAAGAATGGAGTGATAAGGGCACCACTTGGACCACAGAAATATATAAAAACAAGACAGAGATGCTGCAGCTGGAATTAACTGGGCTTTAACCTGAATATTAAACCAGTGTATAGCCTTGCATGATTTAGTCTTTCAAAATTAATTATGTTGTAAATATTACATAACACATTTGTTGCACATTATTAAATACTGTATCAAGTATAAATTACAAATAAGTTAACACTGAAAAAAATGCAGGAGTATTACCTGTAATCCAACATGTATGGATAAATGTATATGAAATATAAAGTGTTCCTAAAAATATAATATTTATAAATACAGTAACATTGTTGCCACTGAAGTTACCCAAGACCATCAGTGTAGTCTTAAGCTCTAATTTTCATACTTAGATTTAACAAACCAAGATTATTATACAAATACAATAATAATATAAACAAATGTTCAAATTGTGAATAGTATTTCAGTTTACGGTGTAAAACTTGAACTCTACATATTCCAGATATATTTATCTACTTAAAAGCTATGTACAGTATTTGGTATTCACTATTACAAATATAAATAATGAAACTACTAACATTTATCAATTCTCCCAGGTCTCAAACACCCAGAAATATCTTCCAAATTTAAAATATGCAATGTTTTTATTCACACCAGGGTCTTGTTAATCCTGTACATGTTACATAAACTTTTGATGATTTTTATTTAAATCTTAAAAAAAAAGAAACTTTATTTAGTGACCCTTAATGACCACCACTGAACTTGAGAGATTTTATAGGAAACTGTTCTGTAACTCAAAATTTGGACTATACTATGCATCAGTCCTGTAAATAATACTTCATTACCTTACTTCCATTAAGTTATAGTTATACAAGTTATATAGTTATATTAAGTTACATAAACACACAGCCCAAAAAGTCTCGGAAACGGTCGGTATTCCGCAAGATAGGGAATGGTAGCAGTGAAGGGAGTGGGACGGGTGGGTGACTAGCAGCAGTGACTCCAGGGAAGCAGCAAATGCAATTCTGGTATTCAGAGAGCACTTACTTAGGAAGACAAATACTGTACAATACACATATTATGAATATCTTGATGGAATGTGGAAATGGTTACACACACCCTGTTCCAAATTTATTCAATGTGTCATTCTACCAGCAGCTGCTCACTTTAATCATACTGTACAATATTTGAGTGCTGGGAGCTTTTAAACATGCTTTGATTGACTCACTCTTCACATACCCACAACATTCTTTGATTGACTCACTCTTCACATACCCACAACATGCTTTGATTGACTCACTCTTCACATACCCACAACATGCTTTGATTGACTCACTCTTCACATACCCACAACATTCTTTGATTGACTCACTCTTCACATACCCACAACATGCTTTGATTGACTCACTCTTCACATACCCACAACATGCTTTGATTGACTCACTCTCCACATACCCACAACATGCTTTGATTGACTCACTCTTCACATACCCACAACATGCTTTGGTTGACTCACTCTTCACATACCCACAACATGCTTTGATTGACTCACTCTTCACATACCCACAACATGCTTTGGTTGACTCACTCTTCACATACTCACAATTTGCTTTGGTGAACTAATTTTCTCTTTGATGTCAGAAGATTATTACAATTTTCTTTCAAACTCAGTTTTTTTTCTTCAAAATATTATATTCATAGCTCCCAGAATTAAATTATATCTAGGATTTAGAACTATACTTTCTAAATCCTTTTTATAGATTTCTGTTCTACACTTTTCAAATCCATATTCCAATTGAGAATAAAAATCAGCTTGCCTTGTATTAAATAAATAACTAAATTAAACAAATCAGCATTATTCTTAATTAGAAATGTCATGAATAGTTGACATTAGCATAGAATACATAAATATTTTTAACACTAATATTTACCCTATACAGTATTAAAGAATACTGTATATTCTAATTAACCAAAATCATTAGGTCAATTAGCTTACCATCAAAATCAAATACTGTACAGTACTGTACCTTCCTCTCTCTCTCTCTTCTCACACAACTAGATAAAGGTCCTGGATGGACTGAAATGTCACTGTTTCTCCATTTTGTGGTTTGGTCCTCAATAAACACAATCTTAGCCACTTAATTATTTCTTGCATTCTTGTAGTAATGGTCAGACAGGTCAGTGCTTAGTCAAAACCTTCATACCATTTATACCATAAATATCCTTATAGTAATACTTCATTCAGGTAATTTCTTAAATGCCGTGATTCCTTTCAAAACATATTGGTAAACTTAATCTAATCAAAGAACATTGTTTGAATACTACACAATACCAATAAACATTTACTAATTAATGCACAAGTTTAATCAGAGGCAGGTGCTGTACTGAATTTTTTTAGTTTCAGAAGAATTTGAAATTATCCTGAATGCAGTATCTATAGCTCAGAGTAATTCCATCCCCATTGCAACTGTAATAATCTACATTCTTCCAAAATGTTGTGATTTACTTTAAAAATAGTGTGTAAATATGTTTTTCCTATTGCACTGAATGAATTAGAAGTCAAAACAGACGACTTGTATTCTTCTCATTTTGTAATTACCCAGTATGTAGTTTTCTGAATTACTGAGGATGTATAGAAAGCAAATTAATGTGGAAATTATTCAGGTCATTTTCATAAGAATAATTATAATATTTCAAGCAAGCCAACAATGCTAATCAGTGTCACACATGACTAGACCTTCAGTATAACCTAACAGTTGGGCCAAAAACTGGACCAATGTACAGCAGTGGACACTATACTAAGCATATAACATAAGCAAGCTACAAAATACAATACAAATGTCATATTAAAATATACACCAAGCCATGCCAAATGCACTATAACACATTAAGCATCCTTATAATTACAGTTTCATCTTAAATACTGTACTGTCAAAAATATACCTGTAACTTTAGAATGTGGACATATTAAGGTCAAACATGAGAAAAAATTTACTGATGAAGAAATTAAAAGCAGTTAAAAGACCATAAAAAATGAGGTAACGGGGGTACTGAAAATTAAAAAAATTTGTTTCTATGCTTCAAAAACATAATTGTCACTTTTCTGAAGTAGTAATGTTAATTTTAGATTTGTTATTATTCTCAATAGCTACTCATATTAGAGTACAGTACTTCAAATTTAACTGACCATTTAAAAACAAAAAATCAATCCATGTCATGATCATCTACTTCACTCTTCACTAATGCAAAGATAAAATCTTCCTCACCATTTCCCTCCCAGCTGTCCTTATCTTTGTCACTGTCCAACCCATGGCTTGCCCTTTCCTCTTTAAGACAATCCTTTGACCCACTTTCATTTTCAAATTCACCAAGCATACTTACCTTTTGCCTTTCTCTTTCCTTTCCAAGGGACTCTAAATTTGCCAATTTATTAGGTTCCTTTGAGGTATTTAGATTTTCTTGTGATGGCAAATTCACTTTCAATAATAAATCCTTAAATTCTAAGGAAGACTTTGTTTCTGATGACATAGTATTACCCATGGATGGGATTTGGTTCTCTGAAACATCTTTTGCCACTGAAGGCAAATCCTTATCTTTTAAGGACTGACTCAGTAGTTGTGAAGAACTCCCTGTTCCCACAGGTGAAACCAATGTTCTAGATGATGAAGCCTGAGAAACGGGCATCTCTGATGTAGAAACTTCAGAATCATGTTCGCTTTCCCCTGCAAAGTCATGATATTGGGCTGGTATATTCTCTGGTGTTGTGATCATGGATGATGGAACACTTGGTGAAAGAACCATAGGGTACTCTAAATCTCGTTGGAGATTGTAAATTAGGGCTTTGTACTGCCTGTACTTGGCTTCTGATAGTTCCCTTTGCTGACTAGTCAAGATTCGTTCTGCTTCATTCAAACTTTTAGAGCTTCTGCTAAGCTGTGCAATGTCTGGGGTACAAGCATTCGTAACCTGTTGTTCCTGAGTTGGAATGTTGGTGACATTACTAAATTTTTCCAATTTCACATTTCTCAAGCTATGAAGATTTTCTGATATTGGACCTTTTCCTGTATAAGGAGACTCATATTCTGATGAAGCAGCATTAACTGAAATACTTGATACATTTACCTTTTTTACAGGTGTAACTGTATATGATCGACTCTCATCTAGGATGGACAGTTGTGAGAGATCATTTTTCTTTGTACAATTTTCTGATGTTTGTACAAGACATGAGCTTTTGTGTCCCACATCTGTTGAGAATTTTGGTGTTTTAGTTGGAGTGGTGAAATGTGTGGGATGCGGCTCTGTAACGGATGACTCGGTCACTTGTGTGACAAAATTTGAAGTTTTTGGAAGATCTGCCATTTTCCAGCTATGTAGGCAAAGTTTTCTGAGCTGGGTTTGCAGCCATCTGTAACATTATTAAAAAAAATGTAAAGATAATGTTAATCCTAAATCTGTTAACCACCTGTACTTCTTTCTGTGGGAAGGTAGGAAAGAATAAGGCTTGGTTGAGTTAAAATGGCAAATTAGTAAAAATAGTACAGTACTAGCCATTTGCTATATTATTGCAGATTCTAACAATAAATATGGTGCACAAATAACTACAATAAGTACATACCTAAGCCTTGCTTGTTGAGCCCCAAACCATGCCTCGGGGTCAAGGCGTAAGTCCGGACCTGGATGAACCACACAGGGAGATAAAAACACGTGTGACGTCAGGATTCCTACTGTGATGTCAATATTTTCACCAAGGGCAGCCAGCATGATCTGGGAAATTAACATGGTGTAAATATATAACATACAGTATTTGAAGTTATTTTACTAAATATGTTTAATAGAGAGCACAGATGGAGAAAAGAAAGTTTCATAGCAATATAAAGTCATGGTTATACTACTTTGTCAAGAATGTACAAACTAAAAAATATCTTTTATATCAACAAACCAACCTTATTCATAGTCTCTATGAAAATCAATATAGTGTACACTAAAATGAATTTGGCAGATTCTTGCACTACATAATTCAGTCCTGGAATGCAAATGTTTAGATAACTTGTGGCTTGCAGAATGGAGACTGATTTGTGGGTAGGTTGCCTAATCATGCACGAGTGAGGTGGTACTCCAGAACATTGAGACTTTTACGTATTATTTATTGGTGTGGCCATTCAAGTACCTTTCTGCAAATCTTTGTACAGTATTTATTAGCTATTTTTCCATACTATGGGACATATCCACATTACCACGAGACACAAGGAGCAAATGACATTCTGGATATTTTCCTGATGAAATGGCAGAAAGTCAGTAAAGTTTTATAGACAACTGCTGGATTCACAGGACTCAAAAGCCATCAAAATGCCAAATAACTCTCAAATAATACAAAATAAATAAAAAACTAGCTAGAACCCATTGGTACTAAATGCTGCCACCAGGTGGCATGGAGCTTGGTCCAGCATCAGTTATCAGATCAGCTCATCTTCTGATGCATAGCCTAGAGCAATGCTATAGTGCTCCTGTGTTGCATCATCTATAGTGCTTCTGTGTTGCATCATCTCTCATGACTTACATCTTTGCTAGATAATTTTTTATCCATGCTAATAGTCTGTCACTCCTGCATATTCCAACTTTTAGAAAAGCCTCTTGTGTGGAAGTCTATTGAATACTATTTTGAGATCCAGATAGATGCAATCTACCCATCCACCCCTTTCCCAATTAAAAAAAAACTTTCAAACCTCCTCTCTCTCTACACCCGCATCCCCTTCCTGAATTTCATCTCCCCATCCCTCTACCTCCCCCATCCTTTCCAATCCCTATGGACATCAAAGCTAAAGTTAGTAAATTTTTTATGCATGACATTCAGTTTATTAATAATTTTGTCTGTCAGTTATTTTGCTTCACAGTTATTCTTTAACGGATTTTATATTGGGACTATTTCCCCATTTACTGAATGTCCGAGTTTTCTTGTTTTTAATGATTTCTGGAATATAATCTGCAAAGGATTGCTAAGCTTGTGAGAGCATTCTCTAGGGATCCCTGGTGAAACTCCGCCAGACTTGACTGTTTTGTTTTTTCCTAAATCACTACGCAGATGTTTTATGCCATCCAGGCACTCTTAAGTTATGCTCCAAAGTGCACAGTGTGTTTGCTGCTACAAAAGACTATTTTTTTTTTTCAAACACAAACTGTTCATTTAGGATTTTACATGTTTCTTTATCTCTTATGAATCTAATTCCTAGTTTTAATATTTATTTATATCTTTCACAGATGGCACCGAACAGTTCAAAGGTGTAACTTCGGTTAGTTTACAATCAACTCAAAACTCCAGCATGCATAACATCAAATTCATGACCAGCAGAGAAAACTGATGATGGGAAGCCCATATTAACCAATCAAGGTGGACCAGAACTTGAACCTCAGTGAACCACAGGTCCTTCAGAACTAAAAGTGTTATTTATCCAAATGAACATTCTGGGAGCCAGATTGAACCTAAACAAAAGTGTACTATCCAACCCGTCCTCAGACCAAGTCCATTCTATCCAGCGGTCAACCCCAAAGACACATTCATAAATTTTAATATTTTGTTCTATTCAAAACAGGAATTTTCTCAAATATAAATTAATATTACTGTATATACTAGCATATTGTGCATATTTAGGCATTGGTTAGGTGTTTAGGTAAAGCTGGCAATTATTTGTATTTGTAGTATGTAGGTGAAGCATTTACAGTGTTGTGGATCGAACAAAAGTCGTCAGTGAAGCACTTGTTCCGGAAGTGTTCGGACGTCATTAGTCGAGAATCGTGTGTAAACTGTTTTTTATTCGTTTACATGGGGTTTGGCGGGTGCATGGAATGAACTTTGGCCTTTGTTTATGAGGATGGACTGTACTATCAGTATCCTAGGCTGGTTCAGTGTCAAGGTATAGGGAAAACTTTGTTCAGAAAATACTTGTGCTGTAGGTAGCTACATTTCTCAATTTTAATAACAGCCAAACATGTTTGCTCAAACTAAAGTAATTAAGTTTCAAGCTAATAAGATTATGTTCTCAAGACACTGAATGGAAACCTAGAGATGAATTAGAACAAATTATCATTATCCTGTTTTCTGCTTTCATTTCATGGGGGGGGGGGGGTCCAGCAGCCTAGAGGAAGAAAAACAAAAGTGAGCAGCATAGGTAGAGTGTCAATCTTGAAAGGATTATGCAAGTGAGAGGTGCACATAAAAAATGCAGAGTTGCATTTTCATTATACATGCACATAAAAAATTGCTAAAGATGACTGCCATCAGAGAAAGTGATGTCATTTTACTGTTACACAAATAATATTTTGAGTGGTCAGATGTTCTTCTACCCTAAACGTTTACATGATCCTTGGCTGATGCAGTGTGACAAATGACATAATTTATCATACCTTAAAATTTTCTTCCAGAGCAGCAGATGTTTTACCAAGCTCTTTAACCTGTGCAGTGTACTGCTGTGAAAGCTCTCTGTGTCGAATCTTCTCTGCCTTTTTAGCACGATAGGCAGAGCGAAGCTGGTTGTACTTTGCCTAAGTTAATGATTTAAAAGCAAAAATTAATGACACGTACAAAAATATGTTCTAATTGTGCTTTAACGGCAGTATGAAATATATGTAACTGATGCAAATACTGTAAGCATGGCAAAAGCTAAATAAAGCTCAAGATGTTTGTTTTATTTTGCATCCTTAACTTTACTTTCAACTAAAGTAAGCATTTGTCACAATCTCAAACACTAAAATAAAAATCACTGTCCCAGAAACGAATTGCCTATATACAGAAACCATGCCTATATACATCATAGAATTTAAATAAAAATGTTGTAAGAGGCTCCAGTATCACATCACTAGTAAAATTATGTGTGTTGATTACAAATTAAAAATATGCAATGTACAGTAGTTTTTATCTAAAACACTTTTTCACTATGGCAAGTGGAGCGGCCAGTGCACATCCTCTAAGTAGTTTGACAGCAAAGAGTTGCCCATGCATTGATTTATGCTTGGACCGTACTCAGTAACAGAGATCTTAATGCTACACACTGATGCATTCTAAATGTCCTTCCTCCTGCACTTATTACTTACCTTAACATATTTATCCCATCCCTATTGTTCTCCTCGTACTGCATTGCATTACCACCTGTCTTTGTTGAAACACTTGTCTTACCAATAGAAGCATTAGTTGGAGCCCCAAAGAAGCAGCAGAGCTTCTGCTGTATATGAGTTCTGTTGAACACTTTCATAATGTGAAAACACACCTTTACCTGATAGTGGCCTAATAAACAACCATAACAGGTATGAATTTTTATGGCAAGAGCTTTTTACTTGGAAACAATGGAAGCAAACCTGCAGAGTTTCATGTGCCTCGATTGTTTCCCGAATACTGCGCTGAAGAATCAAAATACGTGCAGAGCTCTCATGGTCAGCAGCTTCCAGTAAACGTGACCGTAGCTGCTCCTGCTGCAGCTGACCCTGAAATTCAAAAAAACATTGTCAAGGCAAATTACTATCCTATTGAAACATTTGAATGCTCTCTTAAGGTATTATCTATTTATATACAGTACTGTATACTACTCAAACTTTGGCCTCAAATTATACTCTTCTTTCCCTCCGCTACTTTTTTCTTTTACATCATCTTGCCTTTTCGGCTGAGTTTTCCTGATTTTTCCTATTTGTATCAACTCTTATCTTTTCCCTGTACTGTACTTTCATCATATATTCATCCCAACACATTGAACTGACCTGGATAATTTTATAATACAAATGTATAGAGACAATAGTTTAAATAGCTAGACAAATAAATGTCTAGCTATTTAAACATTTCAATGACACTAATAATTTTGTCTATTATTCTAAAGGTAATATTTGATTAATAGATTTACTGCTGTATCTAACCTTGAGACGAGTAACAGTTTCCAGCCAGTATCGCTCTCCTCTGGTATGAAGCAGCTCACTCTCGCCAATGTGAACAGGAGCTGAAGATATCTTCTGTTTCTTTATTTCTTCCAGTTTAGCTTCTACACTCTAATAAATATTGGAAAATTATATATTTTAAAATCCTCCCAATGTTGCTACAACTCTTATACATCTTCATTTCATTGCTGATTATAATAAACAATTTCTTAGATACATAACTTGGTGATCAACAATTCTTTCAAAAGGTACATAACCTCGCCAAACTAAAATTAATAAATCAATGGGTGACCAACACTTAATTATTTTCAATACTCAAACTGGATTATAGCTCTACCTTCCTTTCTTCTCTTTCTTTCTGAAGTTGCTCCTGTCCTTTCCTGAGTTCATTCTGCAAACTTTCTAGTCTTCTATCAGCAGCATCCAAGAGCCTGTCCCAGTGAGCAACACTGGTGTCCTGGGCAGCCCTCATCATATCTGCTGACCTTCTCTCTAATTCATTTTGAGTGTTTGTCAGTTCAACTAATCTTTTGTCCTTCTCTTTCTCAACGACTGTTAACTGGCTCTTTAATGCCTCAATCTGTGGAGAATAAACAAGATTTTCACAAATGTCAGTATAAGAAGAAATTTAATCAGAAATTTAAAAAGAATCCTTGAAATAATTTAAATATTATAAAAAGTTATATTTATATACTGTATACTTATCCATCAAGCTGTGTAACACTATATCAAGGATTAGTTTTGAAAAAATAATCAAATACAACTACTGTATACAATTAAATATGAGGGACCTTGACAAGCCACAGGCTTCCTGTTCCTGTCATGGCCACTAGAAGGTGGCCCTCATGTAAATTCAGGTAAATTACACACACTATCAATACAGTACATCACTGAAAATAGACAAACTGTTGCAGTAACCTACACTAAACGACATCTTCATAATATGTTCAGCAGATGGCAGCACCTCGCATTCTCAAGATTTCCAAGCTCAAATTAAACCATATTGTCCAAGTTCAAGGACAGTTTGGCAGGTAGGGACCAGTGCCAGATTGTTCATAAATTCGAACCATGACAAAACAAAAATATCTTCTCAGAAAGATGCTTTCATATTGACTTTACCTTATTTTCTTATGCAAAGCAGATCCAAAATCTATGGGTTAAATGAAGAAATATCCATTTCACAGCAATCAAATGCTTAATAATTAATCTAACCTCCTTTCTAGCTGTATTAAGACTGATGGTATAGGTACACTCAAGGCTCTCTTTCTCGGCAGAAACCCTGTCTCGCTCTATAGTGCGCTGGTGAACTTCTTGCCATGCTTGCTCTACTTCACTCTGTTAAAAGAATAAAATTATTTTAAGATAAGTTTTCCAGAGGTCAATATACATACAATAATACATATAAGCCATAGCAAAAAATATCAATCTTTTGAGTTATATTAAAACTGCTTTTCTGAGCAAATCATCATGAGTAGTTCATTCTGCTGTGTCACTGGACAGGAACATTCAAATTCAGTCAGAATGACATATTTCCACTCCACAGAGGTCTATTGAAGTTGTCCCTTTTGTTTCATTAAAACACTAGAGAGATACTGGGCAATTCTAAGGTGTTACAGTACTGGGCAATTCTTTTCAGTGAAGAATGATTAATATTGACTCGTTTCATAAAACACGAGGCCCACATGAACACCCCTCCCCCCAACCCTATTCTCAGTATCTTGAAATGCAGTGCCCATATCCTTTCTGATCCCTCTCTTCTCAGTAGTTGTATAGTCACCTAGGATGCCAAGGATGTTAATGGAGAGCTTCAATTTTGTTATGAATAAGCTACTATTGGTCATTCCACACATGAATAATTTCTCTAGTGATTCCCTAGTACCTTAATGACCCTACAGGGAGACCACAAAAAGATCTCTATGACACCAATGCAGTATAAAGTATAGTCCTGCTTAACTGTGCATGTTCTTGTCCAATGGACATAGCAAACTATACTTTAGTGAGTAGCTGAATGAGATAACTAGGAAATAGTGTATGATGAAAATTGTAAGAAAACTGCAAAATAATAAATACATAACATTAAATGATAAAAAATAAAAAAAATGGTCAAGGAAATGATAAAAACTTTAAGTGGTTATTCTGTTTATACAGTATTCTATATTTATAACACAAGAACTTTCTTAAATTAAATTCATACAAATTTGAAATTTACACACTTACATCCTCTTCCAAAATGTTACTATCGGTGACAAGAAGGCCAGCCACTCCTCTATTACCCTACATTAATCCATCTACAGTATGTCTAACCCCAGAAAACACCCCCCTCCCCCTCAAAAACTTCTGATTTCATAATATTCCTTTACTAAATAGAAGTGTTTTTTTTTCATGTACACGGCAGCCAATCTTCCTGCTTTAAAACTATATACAATTTTTTTTCTCCTTTTACATATCCACCCTTCTCAATTAATTTGAGCACTGAGTGACAAAAATACAATAGTTCCATTTTGATTAGCGTCATATTCAAAATGCATTAGTTATAGTTACTAATGTGTAAAAATGTGCAAAAACCTTGATAATCTAGAAACCATAATTGTTCTGAAAGGATGTAGTCCTAATTGCAGTTGCCCTAAGCACAGTACTGAGGTTCTATTATATATACAGTACAAGGGATAAAGTGATGTACTCACCTGCAGGTTGCGTGTTCGCTCCCTGAGTCGTTGGGTGAATCGAGTGCTGCCAATTGAGTCGGATAAACTTAAGGAGCTATATTCTTTACCCTCCTCCAGAGACCTTGAATTAAACATGGCCACAGAGATACAGAATAAGGGTGTGTGAACACTTGTTTGAAGACACAAGGACATAGTTACTATAGCACGGCATCAAACAATGTCATAATTCTCATTTTATAGTATTACTTTAAAACCAACCTGACTTTCTTCTGTAAATCTTCTTTTTCAGTTGTTACTTTTATAAGCTGATCTTTTGCTGAGTGCATCTGGTCACTCAAGTTGCGAGACATCCCAACCACTTCTTCCAGTCTTGCTGCCAAGCAATTATTCTCATTCACTAATGTAATAATGCGGTCTTGAAGAATCTGCTTCTCATTCTCTGAAAGAGATTATTGTTTATCATAGGTAACAATCCTGTATTAGTTACCTGTTATAAATTAAATGCACTATACAGGTGTCTCACAAAATCTCTCTACTGCTACAAGTGATAGCAGGTGATGCAAGGAAAACAGGTTTATGCTGTGATAAGCCTTTGAATGAGGTAAACAGACCTCCCAGATGCAATGGGAGCTGGCTGTCCAAACAGTTACACAAATGAGTGGATGTGCCAGGCACAAGGAAAGCATTATCAGCATGTTAGACATCTAATTCCCAACCATTATAGAGAGAAGGCATATAAAGCCACAGATAAGGAAGAATAGCTTAATACAACCCAAGTGCAAGCCTGGCAAAGGAGCAACATACTAAGACACATCAGGACCAGGGTTAACACTAGTACTCAGCTACCTACAGTTCAACAACTCCTCATCACCAGGCCTTACAGTGGTGATCAATTCCCATGCAATGCGACTCAAAAGGACCAGACAAGTAGGGGAAGAACCTGAACTTTTCATAGAAGATATATCTAGTTGAGCAAAAGAAATGCAAGCTAGCCACCAGGAAATGGAACCCTGGTCCAAAGCACCAGCAAAAACAAAGCTGGGGAACACTCAATGTAGGTGGTTTTAAAGACAGTGAAAATAATTAATTCATATACTCGGGGACAGGAAGCTTATGTAAACAGTATATATACTTCAGGCTTATAGCAAGGTTCCCCCAAGCTGAAACTAATGACCCCTCACCAAAATCCAACCCAACAACAGTTGCCTAACTCCCGGGGTACCTAGTTACTGCTAGGTGAACAGGTACATTTGGTGAAAGGAAACATGCCCAACCATTTCTGTCCCACCCCAAGATTGAATCCAGGATCCTTAATTGACTTGAGAATGTAGCCACTGTACTACCAAGACCCTAAAATGAACAAAATTAAAAACCCAAAGTAATGACTGCATGAAAAAATTGTCCCAGGGAAAACCAACACCACTTATCTGGCAAAGGAGGCAGCAGTGGATCCTATAGCACAGTGGTCTACACCCTCAACTAACAATCGAGGATTTTGGATTCATTCCCATGGCAAGACAGAAATTTTTAGGCACATTTTCTTTCACCTGCTGACTCTGTTTACCTAGCAGTAAATAGGTACTCAGGAGTTAAGTAACCATTATGGATTACATCCTAGGGAATATCAGTAGTTGACCTAGGAAGACCTCACAAAGCCTAAATCCAGGTTTCTTGACACAGGGAATTTGTACCAGGCGAGGAAGTGAGGCGGGAGGCCAGATGTTGGTCCAAGGTGCCGGTAGATGAATGAAGATCTTGGAGGCCTAGTACAATCCTCAGGCTTAGCATCACTATTGTGTAACAACTGAGCAGCTACTACGGGAAGCCGTCCTAGTAAAGCAAGCAACTAATTCTTATTTTAACAGATCACTGAGCATTCAAGTTATCCATGACTTGCAAGGTTTTTTAAGCATACAGCTTCCTTACTTGTTACTATGACTTGCAAGGTATGCTCTTACCTTAATATAATAGATCTTAAATAACATGCAGTTGAATTATATTATATTGTACATTACTAGATATGCTGCTGAATCATGTCCAGTCACAGTACCTGCTTGCTGTAGCAGTAGTGTCCAGTTTTCCTTTTCTCGTTTCAGCGTTAAAGTGAGCAGTCCTTCGGAGCCCTGGCCATTTTCCATAGTCTTCCTTTCTGCAGTTGGTCCCCAAGTGTAATTCTGAGGCTTGCTTCTGGTGTCCAGTGGATCAGATGACTGAGACTGGGTGCTGGACTGTATTGTGTTTCCTTCATCACCAGAAATTGCATTTTTACCCTGTGGAGAATTTATATCTTCTCTGCCAACTGGAACATTTTCACAGTTTTCTGTTAAAAACTCTGAATCATGATGCGAATCTTCACCCGGAAATGTGCTGGCAACAATCTTTTTGTCTTCCATTTCTAAGAAAGTCTCTTCATTCGCTTCATTTGCACTTTCAATTGACATTCTGAGCACTTGGGGTGTCTCCCTCTCCCCGTCCACACTATACTTTTCTTTGCTTTCTGTCTGAGCTATTTGTAACTTCCTTTCCAGTGAACTATTTTCATTGATTAGTAGTTCAATCTTTTCTTGCTGTTGTTCAAGAATACTGAATAACTCTTGATTACCTCTTGTCAACTTCATTAAACTAGATTCATATTCACACTTGTCAGATGATCTAGCTATGGTTAATTTTTCATCAATATTTTGTATTAGTTTACCATGTTTTTCCATAACTTTCATTATAGTAGATTCCAGAGAAGTTTCCGATGTCAATGCTGAGGATTTTAAATCATTTAGACTATGAGTTATTACTTCATTTTGTTTCAATAATTCGTCAAGTTGCAGCATTAATTTAGAATCATCTTTTGAATCCTGATTATAAATATGACTATGGTCACAATCTACACCGATTTCATTTTGAACACGGCCTGTATTTTGATCTAACAATACAATACAATGTTTTTCAGTGTTCAAAGATCTACTGGTATGATTAGCAGGAGCACTATTTTTAAAAATTGCCGATTGATAATCAGCCTTACCACCTGATACGGTCTCGTGCAACTTTTCAGATGCTACTGTCATTACTGAAGTACTGAAAGATGATGATGTAGTGTCACCATCGTTTATATTAACAGCTTGATCAGAACGAGTGATGGATATATTCTTACCTAAATTTGGAATGGGTGTTGAATTATCACTAAGGATAATTTCATTGTCTCTAATGACTGCCTCAGAAGAGCTATTAGGAATGCCCTGAACTGTGACGTTGTCCAAGTTTGCCTCAGTTTGAATGGTATCATTAACAAATGCAGAAGAGTCTTCTAAAATTGTCATAGTTGTACTGACATTAGCACAGGTAATCATATCTTCATTATTTCTGGTATCTTGCATATTAAGTGAACATCCAACCCTTTCAAGGTTTCCTAAATCATTTACATCAGGGACACCTATGGTTGATTTTGCCTGGGCATTTGCATCATAAACACTGCTCACTGTAACAGTTAAAATGCTTTCACCATCTCTGTCACCACTTAGGTCTGCATGGTAGACAGCTAACTCTGATTGACAACTTTTTTCAACCATGTCTATTTTTGATGATGTTACCTCATTCAACTTTTCTGTCAGATTTTGTTTTTGTTCAGAAAGTATTCGAATTCGTGCTTCTAGTCTTGCACTTTCCAAATCTCGGTCAGAAACTTCCTCATAAAGTTTGCAGCTCAATTTTTCTTTCTCTTCTGTAAGTTTCTTAATTCTAATATGAAGTTTTTCCATTTCTTTATAGCTGTCTGCTTCAACACTGCAAGTATCACCCTTCAAGTCAGTTTGTGTTTCTTTGGCATCTTTCTTTACTTCTTGTTGCTGACTTATCTCAGTTAACTGTTTTCTTGCTCCCTCACTAATTTTTCTTTCTTCTTCTATTATTTTCAAGAGATTCTGATTTTCTTGAGTTAAATGCTCAACTTCAACTTTCAGGATACCTGCTAAATCAACTTCAACTAATGACTGAGGCTTAGCACTACTCAATATTTCTTCATTCTCAAATAGTGGCTGATCATTAGCATGATTAAATATGTCTTTTTCCACCTGGCTACTCTTTGACTCGCCTAGTGTAATAGGGATCAGTTTCACTGAATTAATAAGTGAATGGGAAACATTATCCTGAGTTTGTTTTTTGCCATCTTCTTCCATTACCTTGTTAGTTTCGTCTGTGTTTATACTATATACTTTTGCCTCTGGCTCTTCATCATTACCTCCATCAATGCAAAATGAAACCGTTTTGTTGCTATGTTTGGTCTCACTCTCATCAACTGTACATTCTTCATCATTTAAAGATAATTTTAATGCTTCATTTTCCTCACTCAGTAATTGTATTCTAGCTTCAAGGGCCAATTTTTCTTGGTCTACTTTAAAAATTGATTCACAAGTCATTCCTTGAAGAAATTTATGCAACTGATGATTTTCCCTCACTAGTTCCTGAATTGTTGCATTTATTGAGTTAATTTCACTACTAAGACCACTATCTCCCAAGCCAGGTAAGTCAGCCTCATCATGTTGTAGCTCTGTAATTTTTTCATCATTCTCAGTGTTTTCCATTGTGAGGCTGGGAAACTCATCTTGGTCTTCATTGATCATGCTGAGGTATGTTTCACTCACAGACGTTCCCGACTTTCTCTGTTGATAAGGCTTATCTTCATAACTTTTACTTCGTTTTTTATATTTTCTAATTTTTGTTTTTAATTTTCTGTTATCAACTTCTTCTAAGCTATGACTCCTCATTAGACGCACATGTCTTCCATTTGAAATTTCAAGCTGATGCAATTCCAGGTCCCTTTGAGCTGCACGATGTGCAATAAGCGCCTGTAGTCTAGTATCCAAAGCTTGCTTTCTAACCACTATATCTTCTATATCTTTCCTTAGTGATCTTGTTTCTTTCATCCAAGGATGAGAAATGTCTTGACTCTGAAGGCTATCTAGTCCCTCACTGTGATGTTCGGTATGGCAATAATACATATCTGATTTATTGGGCATTGAGTATATTTCACTAACACTTGGCACTATCTGAATAATTGGCTCTTTTACAAAGGGTTTTGAAAATTGTGTAGCATTACTCTCATGTGCATTTTTTTCTATGTTTCTTTCAGTCACAGAATCATGAGGTGTAAAATCAGGGTAAACACTTGTTTCAGATTCATGCTTACCTCCAAGTAGCTCAACATTGGTATAAGAAGGTTCATGGTTATGTGCAGCAGAGTTCCTACTGATTATATGTGATTGTGATGTTGATGCCTCAGCAATATTACTCTCTTTTACTCCTGACTCGTAACCATCAATGGATTTGTTCTGCATTCCTTCATTCTTATTTACCCTTCCTGGCCAGACAGATGATGGGTTTGATTGCAGATGGCTATCATAAGCATGTTTATTCTGTTCAGTATTCATCAAATGATGACTGTGAGAGTAAGACATACTATTATCATTGTCATTATTTTTGGTTTCTGGGGAGTGGGAGGTTGGTTGTAAATATCTGGTGTGTGTAGTGACTAAACCATGAGATGCTGCAACTGTTCCTGGACTCTGGAGTGTTGATGCCTGCAAAGTATAAAACATATACTGTAATCAAAACTGATACATGTACAGTCTGGTTCGTTCTCGACCCACAATCAAGAATTCAGGATTCAAATACTGAGCGGGACAAATACCTATCACCTAATGCCCCTATCCACCTAGCAGTGAATAGGTACCTGGGAGTTAGTCAGCTTTTTGTGGGGTTGCATCCTGGGAAAGGGCAGTAATATGACCCTGGGGGCACCTCAATTTAAGCCTAACATGTACTCTATGTACCCAGTGGTTGCCTGTCCCCCAACACAATAAATTAATACACTGTTTTGTTTCTAGGTGAAATGGGTATTAATGATTTAATATTACCAAATTTTACCTGAGGGCTACATTGTCTCTAGCGGCCTCGACGATGACAGAAACATGGCAACTTGTTTCTTGCCGAGTTTATCAAGTTGAATTTTGAATTTCAGCAGTGTTTCGGCATTTATGGCTTTGGCGGGTAGGCAGTTCCATGGGTTTATAACCCTACAAGTGGAAAAGCACCTCCTGTTTTCTGTTCTACATTGTGGGTTGTTGAACTTGAAACCGTTGCTCCTTATCTGTGATACGTTTGATCTTTTGAAGAAGTCGTGAGGATCAATATCCTCCAAATTGTTCAGTATTTTATGTTTTAATGTGATCACCCCTGTCATGTCTGATCTACAGTGTTATTACCCTTGTGGCCCTTAACTGTTCCTGGTATGAGGATCAACTTAGTTCTAGAATGATTTCTGTTGCTTGGTATTGAACTTTCTCCAAAGCAGGTACAGTACAGTATGTCTTTCTGAAGATGAGGTCTTCATACTTGGATACAATAACACTGATCTATAGGTAAAATGCTTCTGAAACAAATAAGAAGCTGTTACCCAGGCAGCAGGTGCTATATTGTGACTATATAGCACTTGGAAGGGGTCAGGATAAGGATTAGGGATGGAATGGGGGGGGAAGGAATGGTGCCCAACCACTTGGACAGGCGGGAATTAAATGCCGGCTTGCACGAAGCGAGACTGTCACTCTACCGTCTATATTATAGGAGATGAATAGTTAATTTAGTTGAGTGCAGCTTACCACAGTTGCTATACCACACAAGAGTAACAAATTGTGAATACAGTACTGTATAACGAACTGCACAACACGAGGGTCTACCGGGTAAATGTTGCTGCAATCAAACGCAACTCACCAAGAGAGGATGTTGTTCATATGAAGACAGGGTGTGAGTGAGGTTGTGCAGAAGACTGAGAATTTCTTCCAATTTTGCCTCATCAGTTTTAGGCTCTCCATCACCAAGACCCTGCACAGTTTATACGAAATTAGTATGCAGTAAGGTAAGAATAACCTGAATGTTAAGTTAGTAACATCCATCACATTCTGTTCATATTCTACTGCTACTAATAAGTGCAAAATGACTTTATATATGTCAATTATATCAATATAAAATTTTGAAAACCTAAACAGTACTGTATACTGTATTTAAAACTACATTGTCAAATTTCAATATTATGATATTGCAATCCTAGCAAAATTAAATATATTAATTTGATTATAAACAATAAGAATTAAATGTAATGAAATGCCCTTTTCTGGTGGGCTGTCGGTAGCTCCTCACCACCATGAAGCAACTGACGTTCCTCCTAGACAAAGTGATTATGTTACGTAACTGGCAGTAAAAACGTATCCTTCTATTTTTCGATAAATGTATGTAATTTTAACTTCAGGCATTCATGTTGATTAACAAAATACATATTCCAAGTAAATAACAGAATTTTGCAGTACAGTATTGAAAATACAGTACTTCAAGAAAATAACATTTTATCTATTTATAATTTAAAGAGATGCTGATAAAAAAAATAAAACGTTCCTACCATGATTTAAGACCCAAGTGCCCTCTCTATCACTTAAGTGGTTTCTATGCTACCCTTCTACTACTATATGTTGTAAAAAATTAGCTGTAGTAGGGCTATGCTCTAATAAAGTTCTGAGAGACTTTCTGTCTCTCAGTGTTTACACTGTCTTTACAGTGTTGATGCACTCTTCTGAATCACAGTAAAGGTGAATTTTTCTTCAGCTTAATCATTCTATACTGAACTAAACAACAACTTTGTAAACTATAAATAATCAATAAAAAAGTTCACCTGTTGAACTGGAATAGTTATATGGTTAACAACTGTGTGTTCTCTGCTTTGGTCTGCTTGAACGGTGGACAGGTCCTGCAGTCGACGGTGCTCGAGTATTAGATTATCCATTGCTCTCAGGTTATGTTGTGTTTCCTGTAAAATGGCACCTATTTAGGAAAACTAATTAACTGCCTTCTACAGAATCTGTACAATATATACAATAAGAAATGATGACATTTATTCAGGACTAAAATCTGAGTCAAGTAAAGTTCTGCAGAATACAGTTGTGCCTCAAATGTGAAGTGGCTGGATTTTAAATACATGTTACTCCCTAAAGCTTAATTATATGGAGTATGCATACAACGTAGAGTGATGTGGTAAATTTCTATTAAATTCTGGTATTATTGGGGATTTAAAACAATTATAATACATTTCTTTTATATATATTTAGATTTTTTGGGGCAAAGGGGAAAGATTTTTAGAAGCTCACTGCACTGCTCTTTAAAACTTACACAGATGAATATATGAAGATAGTGCTTATAGAACCACTATTAATAATACAGTGCACTCAAGTTGTGACAATATTTTAACAAACTAGAAAAACAATCACGTTAGTGTGTTTTCACAAGTCACAAGAAATCACGTTAGTGTGATTTCTGTGTGTAATGTGTAGAAAAACAAGTTCCTAACATTTAAGTTTGAAAATACTAATACATTATACATACTGTATCTAATACTGTCTTACCTTTAATATAGATGAGAGAAATTTGAATTTCGTCCATATAACAGGATCAATAGAAAGTTCAGAGGAACTGTCATTTCCTTTTTCTGAGTATACTGAAGTATTGAAACTATTCTCCTCGAAGCTTGTTTCAATCACAGTTTCTTCTCCATCTTCATCACTAGTTTCATCAGTACCTGATTTTCCATGACTTGTGTAACTCTCGTGATCATCAGTGCTACATTCTGTCTCTGTATCCTCATTTATTTCTGGCTTCTGTATTTTGCCTTCACAAGTTTTAGAATTTTTATGTTTGATGATGGAACTTCTTCTTGACTTCATGCTTGCATCTGATGCTGCACTGTTCTTAGGCTCACTGACGCCAAGAAGGTTGTTATGAGGTTTTCCCAATCCCCAACTTGGAAGACTTAATTGCGCCTTACTACTATGAGTTGGTGATATTTTCTTGCTCTCTAAGCCCCTGGAATCAATGTTACATTCACTATTAACATTCTTATACAATGATAAAGCACCAAGGTCCTTTCCTGGTTGACTTGAGTGATCTTCACTTAAGTTTTCATCTTTGCTCTCCATTTCTCATGGAGTCTGGCAGAGTTCTTTGGCACTTCTTTTTCTTCTTTTGGCTCAATATTTTTCACACACAGGCCCACCTGTATAGCCTTTGATGACTTCATGCCCAAAATCATTAGATAAGATACATCAGTCTCCCGATTTCCTCACACACCTGCAATTAAAATATTTTAAAATTGTAAATAAGTATCAAGTACTGTATGCCATGTAAGAGAACAAAACTTCACTGTATATCAGTACAAAAATTATAGATTTTTTAATTTTAAATATAGATTATGATATAAAATGTGTTTGAAGATTGAGAAAAATAAAACAAAGAGCCACCAATATAATGCTACTGTACCTTCTTAGGCAACATTGATTTAAACCTTGAATAAATTTGCTCCCCAATACCTTAGTGATAAAAGTTCAAATGCAGAAAATACTCAATGCTCATGAACATCCTAAATATAAGAATATTTGCATCAGTACAAATCTAAGAAAGACTAAGCTCAAAATGAATGGAAGACAAGCACTTAAAATTAGATAATTTCCAGACTTGTGTTCGTCAAATTAATACATACACGTACGTTAGAGGGTCCTGGTAGTACTGTCAGGTTCGTTCTTGATTCACAATCGAAAATTCCAGGTTTGAATCCCAGGCAGCACAGAAATAGTTGGGCATGTTCCATTCACCTCATGCCCCTGTCCACCTATCAGAAAATAGGTACCCACGAGTTAAGTCAACTTGTTGTGAGGTTGCCTGGTCAGTAATTTGACCCTGGGGAGGGGGGGGGGGGAGGTCCTTGGTATAAGCTAAACATGTACTGTATGTATAATTCGGTTTCCTGTCCCCCGACACAATGAATTATGAGTTATTATTATCATACATAACCCTTGCACAAACATTTTTCCTAAAATGTTTTCAAACAGTAAGGATCCTAAACAAGCACAATAATGGCCTGTTGTACACAAATGCATTACCCCATTTGTGGAGTAGGTGGTTTGAGTAACAAATTCGTTCCGAGAAAGCACTGCAAGTTCTACGACATGTGTCACTCTTGAGACACGCAGAAAATATTAGCCCAAGGGTTCTTTATGAAAACAATTCTCCAATTACTCATGGAAATGCACTGCAATTTCTCTAATACATGTGCATTACACCAGTGTACAGAACCCATGATCATTCTTTGTGGTTGCCACTCGGGCTTCCAGTAAGCTATGGCAGCAAATTTTATTTATTTTTTACTTATATATTTATTTATATATACAAGTTTCTTGTACAGCCACTAGCACGCATAGCGTTTCAGGCAAGTCCTTAATCCTAATATACCCCGGAATACGACCCGCCAAATCCTTTAACAACCAGGTACCCATTTTACTGATGTGTGAACAGAGACTACAGTTAAAGATTGGCAGCCAGTCAATCCTCCCCAGCCAGGATACGAACCCAGGCCAAAGCGCTCGCGAAACGTCAGTCGAGTGTCTTCCAACTACGCCACGGGGACTGCAATGGTGGTCTAATTATATCACAAATATGGATAATCCTAATGTAATGTATCCTGACCTTTAATGAGCCATAACTATTTAGTCGGCGGGTCTGGAAAGGCTTAGCTTGGTACCGGCGTGTCCAGGCGAGGTACGGCAGGTGCTCAGACTAAGTACCAGTACCTGCAGTTTTCCTACACGACTGACATCCAGTTATTACTGCATACCACTCTTCTGTCTTAACAGTCCAAATACTACATCTTAAAAAATATATAAATATATGTTATTCCAGTTATATATCAAGTGAAAACAAGTCAGTTCAGTAATAAATCCCACCGTCTGAGCGGTGTTTGTTTACAAAGTTTTGCTGTCAATGACCGGGCGAGAGACGGACAGGCAAGACGCGACACTTGTTACCAGGGCAGGTAGTGCTGCCATCTGTGGGAGAGAGTCTGACTTTCTGCACCTATTTTCATTTTCAAATTACGACTTTTTACACCGAAAATATGCCAATTACTGAAAACGGCAAAGGGTCATATTTTGCCCAAACCCCCCTGCAGTTTTCAAAATATCTGAAATGTTGGAAATTTGACTCCTGAGCGTGATTTTTGAGCCGAATTCTGACTCTCTGCACCTATTTTCATTTTCAAATTACGACTTTTTATACCGAAAATATGCCAATTACTGAAAACGGCGATGGGTCATATTTTGCCCAAACCCCCCTGCAGTTTTCAAAATATCTGAAATGTCGGAAATTTGACTCCTGAGTGTGATTTTTGAGCCGAATTCTGACTCTCTGCACCTATTTTCATTTTCAAATTACGACTTTTTATACCGAAAATATGCCAATTACTGAAAACGGCGATGGGTCATATTTTGCCCAAACCCCCCTGCAGTTTTCAAAATATCTGAAATGTCCGAAATTTGACCCCTGAGCGTGATTTGAGCCGAATTCCGACTCTGCACCTATTTTCATTTTCAAATTACGACTTTTTATACCGAAAATATGCCAATTACTGAAAGCGGCGATGGGTAATATTTTGCCCAAATCCCCCTGCAGTTTTCAAAATATCTGAAATGTCGGAAATTTGACTCCTGAGCGTGATTTTTGAGCCGAATTCTGACTCTCTGCACCTATTTTCATTTTCAAATTACGACTTTTTATACCGAAAATATGCCAATTACTGAAAACGGCGATGGGTCATATTTTGCCCAAACCCCCCCTTGCAGTTTTCAAAATATCTGAAATGTCCGAAATTTGACCCCTGAGCGTGATTTTTAAGCCGAATTCTGACTCTCTGCACCTATTTACAGGGTACCTCCTTGTACCAGGGAGGTACCCTGGAGATAATCACCTCAAAACCCCTACATAATTAGTGGTTATCTAGTCCCTATTCTTCGTTAAATTGAGTTAAGGTTAAATTAGGTTTAATGTTAATGTTGAGTTAAGGTTAGGTTAAATGGTAGATTAGGTAATGGTTAAGGTTGTTTCATTAGTGGTTTGAGTATATTAATGCAGTGCATTATTTTCAGTCATCAGGAAGACAAACCCTTACCTTGTGGTTACCTTGAGGTGCTTCCGGGGCTTAGCGTCCCCGTGGCCCGGTCGTCGACCAGGCCTCCTGGTTGCTGGACTGATCAACCAGGCTGTTATACGCGGCTGCTTGCAGCCTGACGTATGGGTCATGCAAACTGCACCTACTTTCAAGAGGAGAAGCATTATTTTCAAATAAGTAAAATATAAACTTTCTAAGTCATTTGAGTATCCCTAAGAATTTAATTTACAGGAAACCAAATTCTTTAAAAAGAAAACAAGTTAAGCACACTTTTTGTTTTAAACCACTGATTAATAACACAATAAAGTTATAACTTGAAAATATTCCTTGTTTAGGACAAACATTTACTTGCCAGTTTACAAGTAGACAATTATTGGAACTGCAATATGCTTTCAGACCTTCACAAATATTTAGATAAAATAGCCAGGTGTTAAACCTAGATGACTGGCCAGTCGTTAGAACCACTTTACCCTGAGAATGGTTTCTTGTCGTATCTGCATTTAATACTGAATGTCAAGTTTGCTTCTTAACACCTTACTTATTAATTATAATTAGTGCATGTTCACTATCCATACACCGAGTATTATTTTCTAATGTCATTGGGGTACTTTGAATAAGACTAACTTCCATTAATGATCATATCCTACCCATGCTAATACAGTATATCCTTGTCTGCCCTAGCTGTCTCTTCCCCTGATTATTTTGTGTGGTGATCATTCTAGCCTGTTTCTTCTTATTTTCAGTGGGAGAGAGGTGACACTGCAGGTTTCGAGAGAGCATTGAACAACCCATCCTTGTGGACAGGAAGCCTGTTAGGCTTATTGTGGTACCCCAGGATACAACCCACACAAGTTGCCTAACTCTCAGATACAGTACCTGTATCAGTTTATTGCTCAATAATCAACATATGCCTGAAACGCTGCACGTACTAGTGGCTTTACAAGATTGTAAATACTATGCTATGTATTCTCACAAACCCAATGTACCTTCTTGTATATAAATAAATAAACATATGAATGAGGGATCACTATAGGTAATACTGTATAAGGAAACTTCTCAAATATCTTGTCTTGTCTGATAAGAGTATCGAACTCTGGTTTAATTGGTTGTGAGCAGACTGTATTAGGTTGTGGTACATTCTGCTTTAGAACAAACCTATTTCTATTACAAAAAGGGACTTGAACTTAGAGGTGTTCCTTGTTAATTTATTTGGTGCGATAGTTGCTACCCGCTGAAGCTGTAAATGCTTCAGTTCAACATCCAGAGAAAAAATCTTCAGCAACAATGGGGGACCTTTGACAAGTTGTTACCCATTGAAGCCACTAGAATAGTGACCTTTGGGTAAATTCACATAAAAATGCATTACTCTGGTCCTTACTCCTTAATTGGATTTGATAGCAGTCAAGGAATCTGGTGAGTGAAATTAAGAAAAACTGGGCAAACTTTTGAGAAAGACTGTTCAAAAAGTTTTTTGCAGTCTTGTTTAGAGGAGAGTACTGTTCTCAGCAGCTCACTATCTACAAGAGCTTTCATCAGAATTTAATTCCTTAGCATTTTAAATGTTTTCTGTTAAATAATATACAGTAATTTCATATAAAAATAATTCTGTACTGTATTCAATTTCATGTACTAATCAATACAAAAATTTACATTACACACAGAAATCACAATAGCATGATGCATCAAATGAACAAATCCACAAGGGCCGTGCCGAGGGTTCGAACCTACGTCCGAGAGGATCCCAGACACTGCCTTAATCAACTGAGCTACAACATGGTTAAAAGAATTGCGACTGGGAAATCATCTTGATTTCCTGCAGAACCCATTGGTAAATCAAGATGATTTCCCTGGTTGCAATTTTTTTAACCATGTCATAGCTCAGTCGATTCAGACAGCGTCTGGGATCCTCTCGGACGTAGGTTCGAACCCTCAGCACGGCCCTTGTGGATTTGCTCAAGAAATTTACATCTGATAAGCATGCTGTTTGAAGTGTAAGAAAATACATTATTATATCACTGCTTTATTTTAAATATTCCTTTCTTATTTTGCAAATATATACAAAAACTGATACACAAAATTAAATCCAATCTTTGGTTGGCAGGGTACAGAGGCTGCACACGTGCGGTCCCCAGGTGAAAGGTGGCACCAGCGCACCAATAGTTCAGTCTTCCTGGACAACATTTTTAGTCAGGTATTAGAGCTTATGTCATGATTTATACATGCAGAAAACATGAAATAAGCTTAAATAGCACAATTATTCTGTATATATATAATAAACATTCTAGTCAACCTGGTGCCAGGTTTCTGAATTATTGATGTCCATATAAAAAATTATCATATTTAAACTCTGATATGATTCAGTCTTTTGTAATGTAACTGGAAAGCCAAATAGTCTTATCTTTTGCATTTTAATTTTAGTTTGAGAAATGAAATAACAGAAATAAATATTGATATATTAACAGGTCATTAAACCAAAATTAATTCATAGTCATATCATCAGTGTTAATATATTAAATTTATATCATCAGTGTTTTGATGATAATATATTTTAGATGTCTGAACACACAAAATACATCTAGAAAATAATTACTGTACAGGTACATGTAATTCTTTATGTTAATTTTTATTATAAGCATGTTTTGTTCATACAGTATTACAGTATCAGTATGAATTTAAGGTAAACACTGAGCTCGGAAATATATTCAGCATCCAGCAACACTATATAGTTTAATTTTTGATAACAGTACTCATGAGCCTAATTGTTTCCATTTGTGATTTAAGCATTGGCCACATTTTACCAAAGGGTTTTGCACATGTGAATGTAGGAAAGGCGGGACACTCGCCTACTACATTGAGGCAATCCGACATGTACTATTGGTCGACCACATAAATTATGAGTATAAATAATTGTAGCTACCACAAACTGATTAATGACACTGGTTTGAATATTTGGGGAAAATATTCACTTAAAAACACACAAAATCTAAAAATCTATGATAATTACAAACTCTGAATAAATATCTTCTTTCTAAAATAAGAATAATATACAATAAAATATAAAGATTGTATAAGAATTGTTGAAAAATGTTTTGCATATAAAACTGGTATAGTAACCACTATGAGTATCAATATATATATCAAATATATTTGAGCTTGGCAAAAAAATTACAGCTTCTACAAGCCTTATTAAAGATAGAAACCATATGTAAACGAGATTCATTAATAAAGATCTAACTGTCCTTCAGGATCAATCATAAGATAGATCATTCTAATATTATAGGATGGCATTTACTACCTTATGGAAGTCTGCAAAGGCAGGATGGGGGGGTGAGCATTACTATGCTCTAGGAAGGAAGGTAAGTCGGCACATAGTTGACACTAGCATCAAGTAGACCAACCATTTTAATTAGTGAAATGTAGTGTTGGTAAAAGTCAGTATAATGGTTCTTTACACAAGAATAAACAACCTTGAATATTCTACAAACAAAAGTTTGGTACTTGTCAAAGGCAATTTGTAGTCACATATTAACAATAATGAATATTGCTGGTCAACGCTCATATACCTCGGAACAAAAACGATAAACAGTAATCGATTTAGACCATCGTGGACGGTAACCATCATGGTGATGGTAACCCTGATGACACTTCACAGTCACAAATGTTTAACTAATTAAGGAATGGTCGCTGCAGGAGCTTTCTAATTTATCCGCTCATCAGCTCATGAGCTTAATACAGTACAGATAAAAACACCTTCAAAATCCAGCATGCATGATGGATTTTATAACCAAAACAATTAAAAGTTACAAGCTAAATGGCATGGGCAATTCATACTATT